ATTTGTGCGATTGCGCGATTTGCGCGACGGGTCACGGAAATTACAAGTGCCCCATCCATACTGCAAGGTGTTCTCCAATCCCGCCGTCACTTCTGCTTGATGGTTATGGTTTAATGGAGACTGCTCATGATTCCACTTATTTCATATCCAGTGTTTCAATTGTTCAAATGGGGCACTTGCAATTTTTGTGATTGGTTGGGTGGTTGATTCCTGAAAAAAAAGAACAAAATAGTGACGATTAAAGGAAGCAGTCACGATAATTTTCATGGCAACGATAAGGAAAGCTATGTATTGGAGTGGATAGAGGTCCTGCCCAATGTTAGAACACGTAAAGTTTCAGTGGCAGTGGCCCCTTATCAATGAAGTGATAAGGAGCCGAAATTCACTCAAGTTCAGCAACGCCCAAGACTTATCGATGTGGAAAGGGGTGCGATAAGAGCGTGCTAGATATGATACCGTTATCGTTATCGTCCCGTTTTCATTCTGGAGTGCACCTCTTATCAAGCAGCCGCATCTTCTATCGTATTCATTATTTTCATGAGTTAGACTCGTCCACAAATTATTGCTAACACGTTATCGATTTGACTAAACGCGGAGATAGCAAATCCAGTGGAAGCAGCGGACTGTTTCCTTTGAGGCATTTCAATGAACTAATAGACATTGAACATGAAACAAGTAGAATCCACAAACATTCGTCTTCCAATCTTTACTGCCAAGCAGAATTAAACAACACCTCGCAGTATTCATCGGGCACTTCCAACTCCTGTGATCCATCGCAGGTTTCGCGAAAATCGCGCAAATCGCGAAAATCGCGCAACGGATCGCGGACTCTGACACCAGCCTTAGTGATTCATAGTGATAGCTGATAGTTGGTAAATGATAGTTGTAATTAGTGACAACTGATAGAATACAACTGCAACAGGCTAATCATTTCATTGGCAGAAAACATTTACATTTGTGGAGGCCGTCGTCACTTGTGGTGTATGGTCTGCACTCAACGAGCTTCTGATTTTCTGAAACAGACGGTACTTGCAGGTTTGTGGTGGTTATGGTGTTCTGCACCATATGCATAACACTCGTCGCCATCGCCGCTGTTCTAATACCGCATATAGATAAATATCGTATGAAACGACGTATGGTGAGGAGATATTTCTTGTGCTCATAGATATTACGGTTATTAAGAAGAATCTGTTGTTTAGAGAAAGCAGGAGAAGGAATTGGAAAAACAGTCGAACAAAAATGTAAGAAGAAGGCGAAGAGATTCTATGGATGACGAACTTATTGTGGAACGCAAAGGAAAACCGGTGGAACGTTCGATAGAGAGTAATTCTCGGGAGAAAATCCGATCGAAGGATAGCATTTAAGTAAAACAGACGCGATCAAGAAACATGTCACATACATACATCAAATATTAACAACTACTGCTGATCTACGGATTTATTTAATAATAAACGCAGATCTTCAGATGAGCTCGTGTTCAATTTCCTCTTGCTTGCATCACCTCTAGGTCCTTCTTGATTCTCCTACTTGAGGAAATTGCAACTCCTACGCTTGCATGTGGCTTCCACATTAGCGAATTTTACTGCACAATAGTCATACACTTGTGTTTGCTAATGGAGCATTACGAACATGCATGTATCCACTAAACCCCGGCACCATCTTAAAGGAGGACTCTACAAGGTCAAAAATCGAAGGAAGGGAAGCTTACCTAGAGGAAGACAGACGGACCCTCCAAGGGTGCGGACCGATACGAAATTCACCCGAAAAAGATGTGCTCCGGCGACCTAGCATGGAACCCTCCCCCCGCCCCTCCGCCCCCTCCCGGGCGCCATCGGCGCGGAACTGTTATCGATGCCTTCTAGTCAGGTCTCCAGTCGTTTAGCAGAGAGAGCGTTAGGCAGATGTTATAGTTTGCGAATCCGAGCGTTGCGCAGCGAATCGAACGTTGCACCAGCGAATCGAACTTTGCGCCAGCGAGTCGAACGATGTACCAGCGAGTCGGACCAGGGGCGGTATTCAATCCTTCCCCCAGGGGGATATATCCCCCCTCTGATTCAATCCTCTGGGGGGACAAAAAAGGGTTGCGTCATAGGACCTAGCATACCTCTGTGTTTCTACCTGCCAGACAGTTAGAGCAGCGCGACTACCCTCCACTGATGAAGCACTCTTTTCCCTGAGGGGTCGCGCTGCTCTAACTGTCTGGCAGGTAGAAACACAGAGGTATGCTAGGTCCTATGACGCAACCCTTTTTTGTCCCCCCAGAGGATTGAATCAGAGTAGGGGGATATATCCCCTGGGGGAAGGATTGAATACCGCCCCAGGTACCAGCGACTCAGTAGTGACGGACCCAACGTTCAAAGGAAAGCTTTGCAATGAGAAACGCGACATATCCATGTTGATTGATCAGTTTATCAGAAGCTTTGGGCCAGCCTACTGACGGCGGTATACACCAATTATTTTCGAAAATTTGGGCTTTGGTTTTCCAATCTTTCTAAACAATCCTGCGCTGACTCTCGATGAAGTACTTATGCCAATTGCAAAGGTGCGTGCTACTATGCAGTATATCGCGTGCAGGTTTGAATGCAGCACGTTATATCAACCTTTTTTAGTCGGTAGTTCGTCGTTGCATGGATAGAGTATTTGAAGTGGCAGATGATAATGAAGATATAGACGTGAGTGGAAGCTTCAGTCAACCTTTAAAGAGCACCCCCGGCAGTGCTGTCAGGAGCAGTCCGGTAATTAAAACGCAGTACATTTTAGGTTGCATATATTCAATCAGGATTTTCATAGGAACCGAGTGCTAATCGTCAGGCGCCTTCGCGTACTACAGAGTCTGAGGCAAGTGACTTAGGAGCATCGAATATATTTGTAAGTTCTCTGGTTTGTCAAATCACTTTTACCTGTGCAGGTTGTGACATTAGGCAGCTCTAAAATTTTGTTTTCTTCGAGAAAGAAGAAGCAAGAGTAAGGAAATTGTGAACTGTGTTGCACTTCCATACTCATCCACAAGAAATATATGTGGTTGGTCTGTAAAAATTGGTCCTAAGGACTTCATAAAGCTAAGCTAAATTTCTGGTGTTAGCGCTAAACTTCCACTGTGATTCTCAGGAGTCGTGTGCCAATTATGGGTACAAGCGAACGATTAGAAAGGGTGGGGACTAGGGCTAGGCAGCATCAGATGTCTGAAGTATGGCTGGTCAATATTAACTGAAAATATTATTTTTTGGATAAAATTCTTCGAGCGAGCAATGAATCACAATAAATACGGTTGTATCGAATCTAATAGGACCAGCGTTGAAGGGTTCCTGTTGATGATCAAAAGTAGATCAGAAGTATTTCGTTTACTTAGAGGGTTGGGAACGGGTGGTGGGATCGACCACTGATTAAATACGGTCGTAGAGTTTAATCTTCCATGAAGTCGAATGCTATCGATGAAAAATGCTTGGTTTCGGGGACAATGCAAAATCGGAGTAGACACCGTTGCGTGGAGCAACTTGCGTGGCATGCTCGGCCCGTTCCAAGGCAGCCATATAGACACTCTTGGTATTGCGCTTAGCGTTATAACGAATGAACATGTGTAGCAGTATAGTTTGGATACATATACAGTCGATATCCGAAAGTTGGGGTGGGTGTGTCACCGGAAGTGACGTGCACTTGATAGAAGTGCGTGGATAAGCTGTTGCCAGCATGCTTTGCTGATAGCCAGCGATGTATGTTGGAAGCAGCTTATCCACATAGTTTCTATCAAGTGCACGTCACTTCCGGTGACACGCCCACCCCAACTCACCGATATCGAGTATATACATTTGCTATACATTGCTTCAGTAAACATTATTAGATGAAGTCAAATTCCGATGATAAGCGGCCGGAAGAATTCTTATATCCCTGAGAAGCGTCAAATAGGGTTCGACCCCCGATTTGTAGAGCATCATAGCGAACCGTTTTCTGCATATTTCGTCCATGTTACGCTAAGCAATATCGCTATTGTATTTTTCGAAGTTGTGCCTTGACTCTATCGCCCTGGTCATTGCTTTTGCTCTCAAAGTGTTGCAGTTGCGCTTGACCATTAATGAGTATCGGCCCAGAGTCGATGATCGGGTGCGATGGACATAACACACACACAGATTGAGCGCAGTCAATGTGTTAATGTCATAAGTCTTTCGTATGTTATCGATATAGGATCTGGCGCAAAATTCGTTTAACCATTAATAATAATGTTTCACAAGAATGCTGGGTTGTGAACAAAACTTTCGCCCCAGGCGGGACTAGAACCCGCACCTCTCGCTTTCCGGGCAAGTGCGCTACCAGTTACGCTACCGGGGCACCATTTCATTCCAACTCAGCTTTTCATGGTATACGTACCATAGCTTTCAGCACTCACACGTCTAACGTGTTGAGCCGGTTAGCCGATATCGGCAATGACCGCGAGGCTGAAAGCTTTAGCAATGATTTTTGACTTGTTTTTGTTTGTTAACTGCTGTTTTAACGCCGCAGTTCGCCTTGCGAATGTTTCACAAGAATGCTGGGTTGTTAATAAAACTCTTTCTGAATGATTCGTTATAGGCAACGCTTCGACAAAATAAGTGGACTCCACCTGATTCGTTGACATGGCGTTTTGCGATGTCTTTCGCGAATGCCTCTGTTGATTACGATTTTGGACCGCATGGATTTGCTCAAGTATGGCTCGAGTTCGTGAAACGACTGCGCACCTATTACGACAGTACAAAAGACTTACCAGGGTTTGTTATCTTTCCTCACTTGTGGTCTTTATTTTCTTCTTTACAATGCTATTGTGTTTCATTATTAAGTTGATGCGCAATTAATGATGTTCGTAGAGTAGATTTTCGTTAGTTAGTTCAACCTTTGTTATTGTAACACGATGTATTTTGCGCTTCTCCTCTTGCCAGGGCTGCATTTGGGCAATTGCATACGCGTTAGTTCTTTGGGACGTGTTGCAGAGCTTGCTCTCTGAAAGGAGCCAGTTTCTGTTTAACCCATTGGCGACAATGCGATTTTTCGCTTGTCTGCCGCGTCGGACCGCGCCTTTTTTGACATTTTCGAAAAATGTGTCATAATGCGGCTAACCACCTGCACCAAAAACGTTGAATCTTGAAGCATGAACTGTTAGAACTTTGCAAGTTTCGTATGATTGCAGACCGCTTCCAAAATGAGCGTAAATCTTTAGGTTTTGCCGAGGGTGTATTTTGGAGCATGCCAGAAAAACTTCAAATCTCCACTTTAAAACCCGTAAATGAGGTCGGATCCAGATCTCTCTTTGTGAAATGTTGTAGCATTACTCTAGCTGACTCCAGGCGAAAAGCCAGCCGGATACATTCAAAATAACAAGCTTTGCCTTGGAAAATCACTTTCAAGTACCCCTCGTGTAAAACATCAACTAAGGAAGATATGCACTGACCATTAATACCGTAAGTATGACAACGCCTTCCTGATTAGTATGCTATAGGAACACTTCTGGAAATCCTGCGGAGAAGAGTTATCTCAATGCTGCGTCCCCACATCGAGCCGCATTGTCCGTCGTGGCAAAAAAAGTGCGTCCCCGCGTCGAGCCGCAATGTCGCCAATGGGTTAATGGTAAGACCATATAAAGCACGTTATCGTGAGCGCTATCTTTTACCTCATAAAGACCTCTATGACATTTGCCATCGGTTGTGCTTTAATGTGAACAAACTCTCAAAACAAAGTCCCGGTCATTGAACGGCGGCATTAATCAAATGAACGCTAGTATGTCTTACATTAAAAGTCGGCAGAAAGCCATGAACCGTAAATCTTTATTTTCTATCTACAATTCCTATTTGTTACGATTATGTGTACTTGCTTACTGTGGCTTTTTAGACTGGGTAATGTTACGCAACCAAATCTGTCTCATTGCCTTCTACATCAGAAAATCCAGATGCTCCAATGCTGTATTTCTGCGAAGAGAAGACGGCATGAATTATATGATAACACCAAAGATTTTGGCGGAGGTAATTAGGGCTAGGACTTACGGTTAGATCGGTAGGTTTTCGGTTGCTTTACTTGTGTATTTCAGACGAGTTTTTCGATGCTCAGTCAGATCAATCTGATGCGGATTCTTCGAGTACCGGCGTTCAGAAAAGTGGTGCGGCGAATAACTGCGTCAAGGCCAGCAAGCCTTCGTCGGTAAGACTTGTCACTCCTTCCCATCCAGGTGCGTCGCAAACTTCACCTATCTCTAGTGGTGTGTTTTAGATTCAGGAACCTTCTGGACGTCTTCATCCTTTTGGAGAAATGCGATTGCTCAAACACAAAGACACACCACTTTACGTTCCCATCACGCAGGCAAGGCTTTCAGCAAAGCCTTTACTGCATCTTGCTTGCAAAAACAGTTTTTTTTAAATATAATTTCAGGATCGTAGCCCAATGACGGAAGACATGGTTGATGAATATGCAAACTATCTTTCATCATTGGACGACGGAGAAGCGAGAGTTCGAGCACAGTTGGACGTCCTTTGCAGTGACATGCAAGCATTTAAGGTGTTGTGTTGGCTCAGTCACAGCGATGTTGCTGCTTCATTCTTTGTAAACTGCCGGGTGCCGGTGAATCCAAAGTGTTGCCTTAGAAGATTTTTTATCCGATGGCACTCACCCAAGGACTGGATAGAGGAGGAAGGTCTGTGAAGCTCAATCCACATCCTACTAGATGTATTATTGTAAGAAATGTTGAAGGCGTCGTTTCAGAATGCTTGTCAGAAAGGATGCAACTCCCTGACAATACTTGGGTAAAATGTTGGAATGAAGCCATGCCAATTCCTGTGATAAATCAAGCACGCTTGTTCAATGAATCGAAGATAGCTGAGGAGGTAATCGAAGGTTTATTATCATAGCTCCACCAAATTTGGCGAAAGCTAATCCAAAAGTCTCCATTTTGTCGTCGTCTTCATACTCTATAACAGATTCTATCGCTACTGGAGAATGCAACGGTTCAACAGATGGTGGATTTTATTCGCCCGGTTCTGTTCGTTGCAGCTGTTGTCCAAGTTGTTCAAAGAGGTTTTTTTTTCATCCCTAAATACTATCGATCGTAGTGAATGAGATGATTACTCTCAGGAAAATGTGTGAGAAATCTACTCAACAAAGAGGTTTTGGCTGATTCAGTGTATCGCGCTAATCGAAGTGGATCTCGGTATGCTTGGTTTTTTTTTGCATCCATCACTCTTCAAAAATGCTCTATATTTACTATTGGTGTTTGTTTTAAGAGACGATTTTATGGAAGCTTTTGAAGCATTTGAAGGCTGCGGAACTTTTTCTTTCCCAGTATTCGAGTCTTCACAGCAAGCTACGAGTCTTTGAGGTGCGTTTCCAGTTGGACTTTTAAGCCCGACACCTCAACAAAGCGACGTTCAATTCGTGATCGTAGATTTTTAGCACATAGGTAACTTGATAGAGCCACCAACGGAAGACGACCTCTTCAGTTTTATAACATCTCTTATTGAGGACGCTTCAGCTAAAAGGTATGTTTATTAGTAATTGTGGACCAACTGTTTTAAGCCATTTTATCTTATCTTATCTGAGAAATTCATGCAGGTAATGTTTTTAGGGAATCTATCGAGCGGAACGTTATCTCTCGGGGCGTCCCTATTTTTGGTTAGTTCATTTTCATGTTTGCATTGTGATTTGCCGCGCTGCAATATCGCCTTTTCAGGTGCATCTGATGGACCACTCGGTAACGCCGTTCGAATCATGATGGAACGAGACGATGTAACGGGTGGAAAATTACCCGCCCCATCGCGGTATGGATTTTTCCAAAATACTATTATGAGCGGTTGACCAAGTTTTCTTTTTCTTCAGACATTTTGAAATCCGCAGTATGGGGTAGTCTGATTCATAGTCTCTACATGTTTCAGAAGACAGTACATCATAAGGTGGACGGTGCCGCGACCATCAGCGTGCAGTCGTCTGGTACCTCAACGCTTATTTGCTTCCATTGAGCAGGACGAATTTCGGTTATGTGGTGCTTTTGCTGAAGACTCTGTGTACATATAGGTACATGTATTTTTGGAATGAAATAGGTTTTATTGAAAGGTGAAAGTAATAGCTTATACTCATAGCATCCGGAAAGTTTTAGAATTCGACGTCAACGTGATAAGAGCGAATTCGTTCGTGGCTCTTTGGGGACACGGCCTATGGAAATGGATTCTCCATGTTTCACATCTACGGGCGGGATTTGTGTTGTTACTTTTTTGGTGAAGGCATTGTCTTGGGGTTTTGTTGAATTCTTACGAAAGTGTTGCTGGTGGAGGCCCAATGACGGTTTCATCAAGATCTTTGTTTGCCTGTCGTGGAAGAGTTTGGTGGTCTGTAGCTAGTCTGTATATTGAAAATGTGATTCTTTTTTTTCCTGTGAGGTTGCTTTGCTGCATCAGTGTTTTCATAAAATTTTCTTTTTTTCTTCTTTCCACTTTCTTTTCAAAAACGATTGAAACGACAGATAGTGGCGCTGACAGTCGTGCACCGTCTATAGAAGACATGAGATGGTGTCGTTTTTCGTTTTCAGGAAAATCTAGAGCGCGGCCATCAGCGGATTCACTAGGCGCCCATTCATTAGAAGCGAGCGCATCGGAAAGTTTTCGACCGATGAGTTTGAAAAACAGTTACTGTAAAGTAAATCAGTTAGCTCGATTCCCATTTAAATTGAAGAGACTATTCCCCGTATTTGGAAGGGAATCGCATAGCAATTTGAGCATACCCCGTAAGTTCTTCCGAAAATTATAAAGTATATAGCTTGACGTGCACCATCCTTCTTGAAGCGATCCGTATGTGTTAGGACATTACCAAGCTCACATGACTCATACACATATACTCGAGATCCGTAAGTTGGGGTAGGCGTGTCACCGGAAGTGACGTGTACTTGATAGAATCTATGGGATAAGGGGCTTCCGAATACATCGCGAGATATCAGTAAAGCATGCTGGCAACGACTTATCCTACACAACTTCTATCAAGTCCACGTCACTTCCGGTGACACGCCTATCCCAACTTTCGGATCTCGACTGTAATACTGAACAAATTTGTCCCATGTACACAGAGTTCAACACGTTTGACACGTTTCGGCTTTGGCCACGCAGGTCGGGCGCAATTTCGCGAGCGCGCCTACTCACCTCACGTCCGTAAATTTTCAGTGGTCATGCTTAACAAGGGAAGGATGGTAGGTCGAAGTGGCCGTTCGAAATGAAATGTATACCTCCTGATGCGTCTCCAGACGCTGATTCCAAATCTGCCTTCCAAATCTGCTAAACGACTCTCCGAACGGAGTTATGAAGCGTAATAGCTCAGTGGTGATGGTCCGGGGTGGCAGGTAAAAGCTCGTAGGATCGGTTCCTTTGCAAGTTTTGCTTTGCTTTTGTCTCTAGAAGTGTTGCGGACAAAAGCAAAGCAACAAACTTGCAAAGGAACCGATCCTACGAGCTTTTACCTGCCACCCCGGACCATCACCACTGAGCTATTACGCTTCATAACTCCGTTCGGAGAGCGTTTAGCAGATTTGGAAGGCAGATTTGGAATCAGCGTCTGGAGACGCATCAGGTGGTATACATCTCATTTTATACGGCCACTTCGACCTACCATCCTTTCCCTTTTCTATTCGTAGAATTCATTTCGCTTTATAGTGGTGAAATTCCGCTCACGGAAACGTGTAATGGTGTCTTTCCATACATTTTTTCATCCTTATTCCCTCATCCATATTCCTACATGTCCCTTTACGTTCTCTTCTGGCTGGTGCACGGCTGTATGGTGTAAAGCTACTTACATATAGGGTTTTACTTGTTTGTGTTGTGTTGTTAACACTGCTTTTTTTTTGTTTGCCGATGGCGCACCTAGAGTGCATGATAAATAAATAAATAAATAAATAAATAAACACAAACCCCATCCAAAAATATTTGATACTGACTCTCCCGCATTGTTGATGTTGGCACAACGGACAGTCGACCCTGCTTTGAAGTGTCAATAAATTGTTGACTGATACTTCGTCGAATCGTTGAGTTCTTTGTGAACAGTGCAGACAAGTAAATCGTAATACCGTCGCTGACGAAGTGGTTATTTTTGGAAAATTATATTTCAGAAACCACAGGTCAAAATTGTGTCTCCGTTCAAATTGCTGCGGTAGCTAGCCTGGGTAATCCACCTCACCCCGCGTGGCAAATCGAGTTAGAGGCACATTAGAGCCCAAGGAGTACATCACTTCGAAGATCAGAAGGCAGCTCATTAGAATTAATAGAGTTAGTCAGTAGTGCTGGAATAGGAAATAGACCATGAGAAACGACCTAGAACCCGTGAAATGAGACCCTTTCTTGCCCGTCGTTTCCACATTGATGCGACTCTCATCGGTGCTTCCCTCTTCAACCACTAAGGCCCGATGTCATAGTTTGCGAATCGAGCGATTCGCTAGCGAATCGCTGGATCCGAGCGTTGCGCCAGCGAATCGAACGTTGCACCAGCGAATCGAACGATGTACCAGCGAGTCGAACTAGGTACCAGCGACTCAATAGTGGCGGGACCCAACGTTTAAAGGAAGCCCGCCACTTTCAAACAGTGTCCACTGTCAAGTCCCGCCACTTTTAAACGGCGTCCACTGTCAAGTGACTAGTTGAAGGGGGTGTGGGCCGTGTAGCGACAGAATCGCCCGGAGGCCCGCGCTAGTGGTCGTGGCCGCGACATCGCGGTGGCGGTGGACGAGTTTCTGTAAGCGGCATTCGATTGTGAATGTTAAAAGGACACCAAGCGGACTCGTTTGCGTTTGAATAGTGCTAAGACGGAGGGTATGTTTCAGTACATGTGCAGACTGCTCATTTATACATTCATCAATCAGAGAGAGTTGACTCGGGAATTATGGCGTCATTCTAAAATGCGTACTTTAATCCAAATGTGACATACACCTTCCATTTTTAGAGCATTTTGCAAATAATGTAATCATGAAATCTTATTTGGCATAGTGTACCTAATACCGCAAAGCACGGCACGTGATAAATAATTAAATAACATTATGACACAGTGATTCTACTATGTAACAATGGGCACAGATTTATGTGTAGCATTGTAGAATATTCTTCATTTGTTACCTTAATCGTTAAGCAAATTTTGGTAAAAGGCATCTTAAATGAGGTGTGAACAGACCTAATTTAAGTACAAAAAGGTGCCCTTTACGAGAATAATCTTGGGAATCATGTGAATGAAATAGACATGAAGAATCATTGCTCCAATCGTCAAATTCGAATAAGGCCGCGCCCATCGAAAAACTGCCGCGTTACGACGCCGCGCAAGTGACCGCGCGCGACGCGCACTCCGCGACGATTCTACTGCTGCACGCAGTCCCGGGGGTGTGGGCCATAGTGCGGATCATGGCACTGAGAGCGCACAGGCCTAATTACTACGACGTACCTCGCCTCTGGGCCGGACAACTCGTCCGCACAACACATTCTGTTCCGTTCATCTTGCCTTGGCATCAGGCCAACGAAGCTACCCACTCTTTTTAGATCTCTGGGACTCAGCGAGATTTTTGAGGGCCCAAATTACCACAATTGCTGGGATAGCAGCTGTGTGATACGGACGAGTTGTCCTGGATACTATGCGCTCTAATACCAATGGGATCGCGCC